AGAGAGAGAGAGAGAGAGAGAGAGAGAGAGAGAGCGAGCTGAATGGACAGGTAACAAGCGTTAGGAGTGAGGGTGTCAGGAAAGCAAGATGTCATAGGAGAACAGTATTAGGGAGAAAGGGGAAGATGAGTCATAGGTGTTTTGGCTTAGACCTGAGATGTCCCCCAGAGGACTCCTGTGTTTGGAAGGTGACTGGATCAGGGCGCTGCTGAGTGCAGGAGCTGAGGGCGCTGTGCTGTGAGGAGGCGGGGCCTCGCTGGAGGTGGGCGGGTGGTGGGGTGACAGGGAAAGAAGATTCTCGCCCCAGCTCCTCGTTTCTCTCTCTGCCTCCTGGCTGCCAGGAAGTGAGACATGAGGCCCGCGGGGTGGCCTGCCTGCATGACCCTGGTGGTCCACTCAAGCACCCCGGTTCTGTGTTTTCCTCAAAACTCAGGCAGAACCTGAAACAGCATTTGAATATTGCTGTCCTCTAGGAAGCATGGTGCTGAGGAAGGAGGGACAATGCTTTGTCCTTTTAAATTTTAAGTCACTTCTCAGTTTTGCTTCAAACACATAAAATGAACTTGAGCCTTGAGCTTTTTAAAAAAATGACATTGGCTTTCTTTTCCTAGTTGCAAAAGCCATACATGGTATAAATATGAAATGCGTAAAAAACACAATAAAAACCAGCTCAGAAAATACGGACGAGCACAGCAGTATTATTTTTCTCCCTGTTCTCCTTCTCTCCCTCCCTTTCCCTCTCTCCCTCTCTCCTTCTCACTTCCCTAGATACATATATAGAGAGACTTTTAAACAAATATTCGAACTTTTTTTTTTTTGTGATATCAGGGATTGAACTCAGGACCTTGCCCTTGCGAGGCAGGCACTCACGCTGCTGAGCTGTCTCCCTGGCCAACAATCTATTTGATTTTAATGATACTATTCATAACATTTTCTAGCTTACTCCAACTTATGCATATATATGCCTTCCTTTTTTCTTGTCATTAAATGTTCTTCAAAAGAGTAATTTTAACTGCCTAAAGTATTATATTATATGAATATATTGTAATTTAGTCAATCTTCTACTTAATGTAAAATAGTTTCATCTTTGCAAAGAATATTATTTCCTAAATATACATTTTCAAATAGAATTTTCTGCCTGAAATTTATGCACACTTTAAATTTTAATATATATTGTGACAATTTCTCATAGCGAAATTTATTAGCGGCCTATAAAAATGCTTCTCTGTTCCTGAATTAATTGTATCTGTAGGCAGAAAGGAAGCAGTGTTTTTACTTTCAAAATGCTCATCAGTTTTTTATTCTTTTTTCTTTTCCAGGCATCCTTCCACCTCAGCCACCCAACGGTGACACTGCTTTAACATAGCACTTGTACAAGGCCCAGGTGAAGGGGTTAGGGGTGGCATACAAGGATACCCCGGGATAGCAAAAATAAATATATAAAAATTCCAAAACAAAATAAATATTTGACCACTTAGCTTATGTGTGTGTGTGTGTGTGTGTGTGTGTGTGTGTTAGCAAAGACAGATGCTTAATTTGAGTGTCAGTGTGATTAGTAATTCTTGAATTGTCAGCTATTTTTAAAGGAAAAGATAGTACTGTTGTCAAAGGATCAGGAAAATTTCAAATTTATTTTAAGATTTTTTAGCTGCTATAGAATGAGATTTTGTCTGCCTATGCAACCCCAATTCACATGTAGAAATCCAAACCTGAGGCTATGGTAGTAGGAAGGTAGGGCTGTCGTCGGGTGACTAGGTTATGAGGGAGAAAGCCTCATCAATAGAACTAGTGCCATTTATAAAGAAATCCCAGATGGTAGCCTTGTCCTTGCCATCATGCAAAAACATAGCAAAGTGGTGAGTGTCTACAAACCAGGAAGCGAGTTACCACCAGGCACTGCCTTCATCTTGGTTGTCAGCCTCTAGAAGTTTTACAGATAAATTTCTGGTTTTTTATAAGCCACCCCATCTGTGATAGTTTATTACTGCAGCTTGAGCAGAGACAGTAGCTAATCTATGCTAATGATGCAACCTTTGAATTATCCCCAAATGTGACTATTAGAGGATCTTTAAATGGTATAGGAAAATAAATGTAGCTCCCAACTTGCTAGCTGTCCAGTGTGCTAAGTATGTGTTCCTCGAAGTTGAAGGATGAATTTGAAGGAACAGCAGAGGTTAAGAGTAGGAAAATCTATTGGGAAAAGAATTAGGGAGTAGGAAGAGTTCTCGGGAGGTAGGAGGGATCCTGAAAGGGTTGCTAGTGAGCCTGCTTCTCAGATGAAGTTTCATAGAGCAAGATAATGGGTCAAAACTATGATCAGCCAATAAGGTTACAAGTATATCTATTTAAGTACTATTGATCCAATGGAGAAGCAGGTCACATAGCAAGTATATACTGATGACATCATTGACCTTGATTGATAATCAATAAACTTAGTCTCAGCCTCACTGAGAGAGGATGGCCTATCCCAATCCTAATGAGATAATTGTTTATTTATATGGGAATCTCAAAAGGGTACCAATAATCTCAAGCTTCCATTTATTCCTTAGGGAAGTATGTAAATCTGACCATTGTGACTCTAGTATAGTTTTTCTTTTTTTTGTGGAACTGGGGATTGAACTCAGGCCCTTGCACTTGCCAGGCAAGCGCTTATTCAACTGAGGCATCTCCCCGGCCCTTCAGTAGTGTTTCTTTCTTTCTTTTTTTTTTTTTTGGAGGCTCGAAATGCCTTTAGGGCATTTCTGCTTTGCCGTGTCTGTCTGGGTTGGAACCCCAGAAGCTTGAGCTTGAGGGTTTTGTTTAAGCAGGCACTTAAACAACTGAGCTACTGGGCAGGTCCCCAGTAGTGTTTCAATGTGCCTGCATCCACAGTCATGATGTGTTCTCATCTTTTATACTGACTCCCTTGAGGGCCTAGCCCTGTTGGACTGCCTATAATATTTCTACCTAGCTTAGCTCCCTATAATATTCCCCCTCACCCCGGAAGAGCTACCCCTAACTGCCATGATTGGGCACGGGGTGAAGACTGCTTGGGGTACTTCCAGCTGCAGGGGATCAAAGTTGTGATGAGCAGTCAGAGATACTGTATGGAGAGTCTATCTAAAGACCCTTGAAAGATGCCAGGCATTCTCGTCTTGGGAAGGCATATAGCTTTATGTCTGGAGGAGATAAGACTAAGGAAACAAGTATATGTGAACTAAATAATAAGATTTTAAGATAACACAATTTTATGAATGTAACCAACAAATGTTTTTGTCAGGAAGATCCAGTAGTAGCCTCCTATGAAGAGGATAAGGAGAAAGTCTATGGAATTTTACAGTTGGACATGGCATTTACTTCTTTAATATCTTACACCGTCATCGAGGTATCAGCAGAAAGATTAGAAATATATGCGCAACATTCAGCTTTTATAATTGCACAAGTAACCTCTTGTGCTGTTGTTAGGATGTTTAATGCCACTTGATTTTGGAGGATGGCTTGCCTCATTAATTTTACTTCTTTGTGTAGGAGGGAGATTAAGTTGAGGTGTCCTTTAAGGCTCATTGAGTGTATTATAGTTAGTCAAGGCCTTGATGTGCTGTGTCTTCTAATCTTAGGGTAATGGATAAGGGCAGAAGCCAAATGATCATAACAGTGAAACACACCTTTAGACCATCAAGTTGTGGATGGGTTAGGTTTGCCGATATTTTTGGCACTCCTGCCTTGTAACCATGAAAATCTCAGCAGGTATCTTCCTATCTGTCTAGGGGGTAGTAAGGGCCACAAATTGGTCCCACAGAACTAATGAATGTCATTGGGGCTTTCTAATTTTAGGGCAATTAAACAAGTCTGTTGTAAAAACAGTCTTTGAGCTATAAGGTTACGGTAAATATACACTGTTTGGGAGGTGTTTATCTCAAGTGTTTAGTAGAGTTAGGCCAATGAGCATAGGATTGAATTTTTTATTTTCATATAAGGCTTTTTTATTAAGGTGTCTAATTGTGGGGGTTAATCACATCAGATATAATAAGCTCATTTCTTAAAGTAGCCATGTTGATAGTTATGATTGTTGGCCTTCATAATAGGATAGACAGTGAGATCTTTGCCTAAAGTCAGCTTGGATGTCTCTGGCATTGGGAGAGTGGAGGGAGCCACAGCTCGAAGGTACACAGGTCAGCTCTAAGGTACACATCCCTTTGCTACAATGTCTGTTTATGACTCCGATACACCGTATGCCTTTGAGCAGGTCTCCGGTCCTGAGTAAGCACTCCCAAAGCCATGCCTTCTATCAACATATAGAGTGAAGTGGTGTCCTGTCAGTAGCTCGGTGTTGGGTGCATTTACAGGCACTTATTGCAGCTTTTGGGGTGTAGTTTTGGAATCAGGTTTTCAGATTAAAATACGGGCATTTACATTTGGGCTTTCTTGATAAGTTCATAGACGGGTTGTGTGATCTCACCATGTCTTGCTACCGAAAGGCAAAAATAGCTCGCAATTCTTAGGAATATCCTT